GAAACCGAAGAAGAAGAAGAAGAAGAAAAAGAACGGAAAAAGCATCCAGTTCCGATATTATTTATTTGCGCATCGGGTAAATTGAATACGTGCTTGAATCTGAACTGTGAAAAAAATCGAAAATTCAATATTGAACGCAGCGACACACTTAACACTCCGCACACCGTACACCGCACAACGTCACAGAATTATTGATAAGAACGGAAGTACACACGAACGCGTACGCAATATTTATTTTGTGCACAAATTGCCAGCTGAAATAATAGCAACGCAAATTTGTGCGGGCGAATAAAAATCAAACGGAAAAATTGCAAGAAAATTCATTGCGAACGAGTGAGTGAGCGAGCGAAATGACATAAATGTGAAAATGAAAATGATGGGAGGGTGTAAATGGGTGCTAATGAAAATTAAAAGTGCTCGCGCAGAGAAGAAACAAATATGGATGTGAATGTGAATGTGAAACCATACAATAAATTCGCATGCAATTTGATTTCTAGTGGAAAAGCTCGAAATGCACCGCAATTTTAATGCGCAAATTGAGAGAAAATCAATTGAATTGAGCTCGAGCGAGAATAGAGAAGAATCATCAAAACGGAATAATGAATTCAGTCATTGTCGTTGTCGTTGTCGTCGTATACGGGAGGATATATTTATATTGAATGTGAATAAGAAGACGATGTACGTATGTAGCAAACGAGTGTGAATGAGACAGCATGTTTCTTTCTATCCACTTCGACCTTCAAAACCCGTTTGCATTTGACAATGCATGTATATGTATGCAGTAGCACCAAGAGTTACCGCATTTTCAAATTGTGTGGTTGCAATTGTTTCGTGTCTCAAGCAAAATAAACACAGAATGAAAAGAACAATATGTATCATGCGCTTATTTGCTTCAGTTGCGACGGTTGTGCTTGTGATCGCCACACTTCTTCTCTCTCACGCGCACACACACATGGAGCGCCGTCAATGGAATTCATCGTTGCGTCTAATAATACGTGATGTTTATGTATCACAAAATAAAAGCACAAAATAGCGGAATCAACAACGGAGAGAAATGTTATTAATTTCTCTCATATGCTTGTTGATACTAGGATAGATTTGCACCGTGTTGCCATTCATTCGATTTTTGTTTGCATTTCTATTTTTATCGCATGATGCATACACCGCACACACACACATACAGTCGGATTAGATTTCATAATTCCTTTGTTTCATTTGCAATTGCAATGGTTTTTCCGTTGTGTGCGAGCAGAAAACTCTTTTTCCCGAGCACTTTCTCTCGCTCTGTCCGCGCAAATCCCATTCAAATGCATTTAAAATTAAGATTCATTCTCGAGTGCGGCGTTCGATGTGGCCAACGTATTAAGCGCATTTGAATGGAAGTTATGTTAATTGGAAGCATTTATTAACTGCATTTACTCGCAATCGACATTCCGTGGGCTGATTTCAATCAAATAGCGTATATGAGCCGCATCTTCTGTCGTTGGTCGACAATAGACAACTTTTCTTTTATATTCGACACATTGAAATGACTTGAGCAAACCGAATCTGCGTTATGATTCATATTTTTGGGTCTGTCACGTAGTTTGAAGAATAAAATATGTACTTTCAGTTTTATATCATTTCATCTTCTTCAATCGTAAAAAATGGGTTTTTATGTGTGCCTTTCTTGATCTTTTTTTCCAACGTCTAGATGTCAATTTAGATTGAATCGAAACGAGTGCAAATTAAATTATATCGTTCCATTTTATTATGTGCATCGTGCACTTTTTTCTCTCTCTCTCGCTCTCGCTCGATGCAATCAGCGCGGCGTTCGTGTGCCTGCAGCAAAAAGATAAGCGTCAAAGCGTCTAGCGCTGAAGTGTGAGAATCATATGCAATGGAAATTGCTTCGTTAAGTGACAAGCCGGAAATGTTTTGAGGCGATGAAAATCGAGCAATTTCATGCAAATGGACATTGAGAACAGAAAAACAAAACCAACACACCCAGCACATTTTATACTGAAATCACCGAGTAGAGTAACAGCTTTAAATCAAAGCGTATTCGTTTTTATGGTGATGAAAGTTAAAATTATTTCAATAGAACTTTTATTTCAACTATAATTTGAAAACGTTTAATAAAAACTCTTCGATGCACGCCTCAAACGCAGCTCAGCTCGCTTTACGTGCACAATTTGTTGGCTTTTTATTTACCAGAATGGAAAAGTTTCTTCTTTTTGTTGTTGTTGATTCAATTGGCCTTTTGCTGTTCTATGCAAAATTAATTTAAAACAGAGATGGAGAAAAGGAAAACAAAAAATGAATGAACGGACATTTCTACGAAACCGGAGCGGGAGAGAGAGAGAGACAGTGAGATTTCTCTGGGCGAATCGTAGTGCTAAAAAAATAATTACATTAAAGCATTCACAGAGCAGCCACTGAATGGGAATGTTTGTTTCATTCAAATGAATGTTAAAAATACACTTTTTTTCGCATTTCAAAATGGCCCGAGCAAACATTGGCCGCAACAAGTTGAACGGGTTTTATCACACCAAAATTATCTCTATGTAGGTGCGGAAAAACACCATGAAAAATTATATGAGTGCTAAATGTGGTTACTAAGCTCTCTACTTCTAAATCTATTTGAGGTCTTGTTTTATATCAATGCGATTTGTCGAATATTCTAGCTTAATCTCACTATTGAAAAGCAGACGCTACCTGAATTTATATCTATTTATATCTATTTATTCATTTCTATAAGTTTACACACCGACGCTTCAACTGATTCGTTTACGCTTTGGTGAGTGTTGCCAAACACTTTTCCTGATTTTTTGCTGTGCATCGAATGAAATGCAGCGATGAGACAAAGAGATTCTTTGAGTAAAACATTTCGACTCTCTCACTTTGTACACATTAAACATCTTATGGATGTGTTTTTTCTTCTTTTTCTTCCTCTCTCCATCTCCCTCTCTCCCTCTCGTCTATGAAACCCATGCGATTATGAAACATACGTAAAATATGAGCCACAGTCTCTAGCATTTTCCGTATCAAATGAATCAGTATTATGTGCTCGATGTGCAAATGTGCTCGGCAAGCATTGCTCGCTGCCAAGCCTGAGCAAATATGTTCGACGAGCGATTCGAATGGCATCGAGCTCGAATCGGAGCAGATTAAGAGAAATCACGTCATGTTAATCGCAAATATTGGAATTTCCGGGCTGTAAATATGGAAACATAATATCCGTCAAATCATATTAGATTTGCTTCGATGCTGTTTCATTAAATTGTCAGAAGACTTTCAGTTGGGATTTAGCCACGAACTCTGTTCGTCATCAGATATGATTTTCTGTGTGACACATTTGCAATCAGTGTGTTTTCTTCCCACTTCCAAGTCATTAACAAATCTCCTCCGCAAAATAAACACGCTTGAATGTATGGCATCGATGATAGCGATGGTCTTAGGTCCACAAAGAATTGGTCTTTGGAGGAAACGTTTTAATTATATTTTGCTTCTTAGCAAATGAAATTCGGTTGCCTTTTCGCTTCTTGCAACACGTGTCACGTACATGTGAAACGGAAGTTTTTAAATGCGATGATGAATTTTTTCCATGTTAATTGACAAGTGCGATAACTGAAATGACATTTCTTTGACAAGTATATTGAGTAATCCGAAAGATTACCTCATTTCTGTTTTGCATTAGCAAAAGACACAAATGAAAGTTGGCTTTATTTCGGTCGAATTGATACACTTCCCCAATTGGGAGAATGTACTGCATTTCGTCAGAAATGAAAAAAAAAGTAAAAGTATTTCACTCCAGTTGAATTGATTCAAGCCATCCTACACAATTCTATTATGACAGAGCACAAAAGTTTAATGTTAGTTCCATTCACAGTTCAAACGCACGCACACACATTATGTACCAGTTATGCATATAAAAACACTTACAAAACTCAATTATGCAAGTTTAAAACGAAATTGCTGGGTGAATTTCAATGTCTAAAAATAAAATTTTGCAGATTTTCGTTCGTTTGTTACTGTAACTGATGTTGTTGGTTCCGTTCACTCATGGTTTGACTTTATAAACATAATAGTTCTCGAATCAACATAACTTCATTTAAACTGTTGATTTCGTTTTATTTATCGCTTCTCTCCAATTACGTGATGTTCTTTGTCGATTTTGGGTTTTGTAAGACTGTTCATCGGTTACCAAAATACATACACATATTGATAGCATCGATCGATGAGCATATTGAATGATGACAGCTTTCGCTGCTTCTTTCTTCTTCTTCTTCATTTTTTTCCGTTCCGTTTTGTTGTTCGTTTGATTGGCAAATGCGCGGGCCGAAATAACATTGCGGAATATTTGAATAAATCGAAATTGAATCGCTCTAAATAGAAGCGTTGATGTGTAAAACATAAGTAAGCACTCATAGAAATTGTAAAATAACGTTTCGATTGAATTTCAAATGATTTTCAAATGGGATTGCGAGGTTGAGGGCGCTACGACGCGAGCATATGCAATATATATTGACACCGTCACCGGGCAATTGACTGCTTCACGTATCATTTGTTTCGGTTCGATGGCATCGTCAATAGCATGGTCAAATCGAATGAGCAAGAGACAGAGGTTTTCATTCGCATTCGCTTGCACAATTTATTGGTCACGAAGAGTAGAACTGTGTGTTGGGAATTCAACGACATCTCCCTGAATCTATCCTAATTTAAAATTCCATGTAAGAATATAAATGCAAAGTCCATTTGATCGAATCCATGTTCTCACTACTTTTTTTCCCATTCACTGTGTCCATTCTGGCGGCAGTGAGTGAGAGAAACTGTAAGTGTCAATGATTGTTGAACCTCAGCGCATCGGTTCTTCAACCGAGACTAACCACTCGATGATTGACTTGAAATTTCTACAAATGACCTCTCTTTTTTCCCACTCTTGAACACTATAAATAAATTATATGATGAATCCCATTTTCACACTTTGTCTCACTCTCTCTCTCTCTATCTCGTTTCAGGCTAACGGTGATTCTTCATTGGGCAAATACGTTGCTGGTAGCGTATCGGGTGCTAGCGGCGATAAAGGATTGTTCGTTGCAAATCACGCTTATTAAATACATACAACGCAGTTATCATACACCTTGAACTACATTGTAAACAGAATTATTTTCGTGGTGTGAAAAAAATAGTTCTCTCATCGAACAACAACATCATCATTTAAAGAAAAAAAATATAATAATTATTATAGAATTGATCTTCGATCCGATTGCCTCAGACCGATTTTAGCATCATGTGTTTATACAACTTTTTTTTTAGCTTGGTTCGATCTTCTCTGTTCGCTCTCTGCAAGTGATTTGTTTGGTTGGCATGTGTTCAACAGCTGGTGACATTTTCGAGTGTTGGCAAGCTGCCGCATGCAATTCTCGAATGAATCTACAAAAAAAGCATGATTTGTTACCAACTCTCAGGACAGATAAAAACAGAATCAGGAACCGTGTTTTTTTTTCGTTTCATTTTTTTTTTCAAAACAAGATATAATTAGTTCTTTCTTTTATCATTTTGTATAACTGTAAGTGTTGTTGTGATTAGATTTTTCAAATGTGAAAAACTGCAATTATCAATGACTTCCGATGCTAAATCACCGACCCAATTATAATGTGTATAGTTTGAGGCGAAACTATCTTCATTTAATCTATTTATCAAAAATAAATTACAATTGAACAAAAAAAAAGAAGAGAAAACCAACACCAGCACAATTTTGTTTCTTTGCATTGTTTTAAGTTTGTAATCTCTATGTTGCTAACACCCCAGTTGAAAGAAAGAAGATCCAAGGAAAACTCATCTCAATGCTTTGATGATGATGATGATACCTAATAATATTATTCAATAAAGAGAATTTACCAGTTTATGTTTATGTGTTAGACAAAATTGATTGTTGTTTTTGATTTGCTCGCCTTTGATTTACAGGTAAAAGTTGTTTTTATTCTCGCATCAAAAGGTTCGTATTTCAAGCGCATCGAGTCACGTGGTTGTGTTTAGCTTTCTTTCTATCTTTAGCCTTGGCAACTATTCATTTTTGCAACTTGAAAGTTTTGAAGGTACATGCTTACCGCTCAGTCACAGCCACTAAGCAATGCTGAAAAATTGTCAGATTTCATCATTTAAATCTACGCTGAAAAATTCTTGCTAAAAAATCTTAAATTAAACTGAACAAAGAGAAACGCCAGTCATTTTGATTTTCATAAATTTTTTTGAAAATTTTATTGGACAACATCTAGTTGAAACGTTTCTTTTTTCGTGGAATTTTTGTTTTTCATTCAAATTATCATTAGAATACAAATTGGTATTATAATATCTTGCATAAATTCACTAACTAACTAAACAACTATCTAACTACGAATAACATCAAATAAATTAATTCGATCTCACAATTAACATTTAATATACAATCTTAACGTGTCTCTAGACTCTAAATACACCAAACGAATGAGAATAAACAATTGGCTAAGTACACTTTAGAATAAGTTCAAATTGGAATTAATTGATTTGAGAATTTAAATAAAATAAAATACGGTTTTCACATCAATTTCGTTTTTCTTGATATACACAATAGGAATTTTCTTGGTTGATGAAAAATTTACAAATAATAAATAATATCCTAAAATAAAACCTATGGTTCAATTGTCACAGCTGTAAAATGATACCCGCTATTGATCGTAACATAATAATAAAATGAATCATTAATGGATGACTACAGAAAAAAATTGACAGATTATTTGTTTTCTTCGAGAAGAAATCTGTTTTTTTTAATGTTAAAACTTTGATTTTTGATTAATCCATCAGGTACATGGAAGAGAAATGTTGATTTCATGCGGTGTCTGCTATTCAGTCGACATTCCCAATCGCTGTTCGCAACATTTAAAGTTGACGGTGTGTTTGGTTCATGCACTTGAACATGAGTTTGGTTCATGCATAAATTCGAACTTGGTAAGTGATTTTCTTTCACTCTAATTGCGCGTACAAAATGCACACGTTCCCTTCAGACAACTCAGGCAGACGAACTGGACGGAAAACTCTGTACGCGCATAGCGAAAAGTGTGTGTAACATCATAGTTGTTGAACACATCGGCCGGATACATGTCATTCGTATCGAGGACCTCTATTTTTGCTGTTTTTTTAGCCTTGGAATGCTCAGATGGCATCGTCTTTGGTTTCAGTATTATTACGATTACATTGCTGTGCTGGTTCGGATTCTTTGGACATATTTGAATCGGATGATTTACGAGATGAACCATTGCCGCTACAAATGCGGTGGAACAATGACATTTTCTCCTTTTGTATTTTGTGTGCTGCTGTTGTGGTTGTTGCCGTAGTTGCTTCGACGGAGTTGGTTTTATTTAAGCGATTATTGTTCTCATCAATTTTCTTCTGTTCCAAATCCGTTTGTGAAATTTCACGTGAAACAACTTCATTCGATTCCGTTTCAACGTCATCAATTGGCACCAAAACACTGCCATGTCTTGACTGTACACAGCCCGGCAATTGCTCATTTTGAATGGGTAGCATTGAATGTGCGGCCAATTTATACGGTAACATATTCAATGAGAAATTTGATGCGGACAAATTACGATGAATGCGTACATGTTTATTAGCATTTGTATTGTTGTTCTGGCCATTCCTCAATTGCATGCGTTGCTTCTGAAGATAGCTGTTGGATTTTGGGTCAACGCCGAAGAGACGGCACACACCACGACGTACACGTCGATTGCGATAGGCAAATATAAATGGCGTGCTGATATTTCCGATGAGCAGGAACAAAATGCTGCACACGGATGCATTTGAAATGAATGTAAGACGGCCTTGGAGCAAAATCAATAATCCATAGGGTAAATAGGAGAGCATAAGCATTGCCACAACCACGATACCGATGCGAGCTGCACGCGATTCTTCACGATATTTGAAAATCGATGATGCATTCGATAGGCGATGACGAATTGATACCATGTAGCTCAAGGCTCGCGGTGAAGCCGATGTCTGTTGTGATGCCTGATTAATACTGGTTGTGCTTCGATTATTCACACAGTATGGCACTTTGTGCAACAAATCCAAATTTGATAATTTCTGAAGGTTTGGCGATGAGTGCACTTGACGCATTTCACCGGCAATCATGCGACCCAAGTTGTGGTTTTTCCCAAGAAATGTCGGCACATCGCACGTTTTTTCCAATGACACCAAATGTCGTGCACTGAAATGACGACGAATTTGCGATAGTTTTGGCTTCAGACCACTCAGACGAGTTGCCTCGGACTTTGTGCGCTGTCGTTTACACTCGGTTTGTTGTTGTTGTTGTTGCTGCTGGCTCTCAACATCCTCGGGAATGTCTAAATAGCGACGATATTGATGAGTGGCAATCGGTGCTACTTTTTTATTGTAATCACCCATTTTGCCATCTTCAATGGCATACTGCTGCAAATCGATTTTCATGGTGAGTGCATCGGGCGCAGACACATCAAATATCGACGGGTATCGTTGATTTTCGTTGAGTGCAACCGCATTCATGCTAGAATTGTGCAGATTCTGCAAGGAGCTTTGCAGCAACGGCGACGAACCATTTCGTCGCATACGCAATCCACTTTGCCGGGCTTCCGAGAAAATGTTATAGTACATAATGCATACCACTGTTATTGGCACCAGTACAATCAATGTGAAAAAAACGCACGAGAATACTAGCGCATAGATATTTGCCACGAGCATCGTTTCACTGGATCCAGCAAATGTGGCCGTTGTTGTAAAAGTTGATGCAGCATCATCGGTTTTCTCTGCGTTGGTAAACGATTCATTGACCAGATTCAGGTCGATGTGACACCATTTCGAACGCAGTGCTGATATCATGGTAATTACAATGCTAACCACCCACACGGAAGCGATCAACAGCCATGATTTGAGATACGAAATTCGTGTATGGTATCGTAATGGGTCTGTCACGGCACACCATGTATCACCGACAACCAACACAACCGACAGGACACCTGTAACGACAAAGAGATAGATGAACACCGATTAAATTTATGATAAATTAATTTTCATTTACATTTGCAAGCTTATATATGCTAAATGGCCGACGAAAACAGATTTAATTGCAAGAATAATCACTACTGAAGTCATCCATATTCGAATGGGTAACATTGTTGTTTAATTCGAGCGGCGGAATGCATTTTAATCAAAATAACAGCACACATGCGCCGCCGACACCGATGCCATCGTCGTTGTCGTCGTCTAATTCATTGTGTGTAAATAGAGCGAAATGCGGAATTAATTACAGCTAATTTATTTGCTAGCCAATTGTCAACGAAACGACGGCACTTTGCTCACAAATGAGTGGGTGGTTTTTTGTCAACCGTTATCAATGCGCATTTGTATGAACGGAGCGAAATATTTGATGATTGGCTTCATTTGAACATTGATATTATTTCGTATAAAAAAGTGTTTTTCTCATGAAATTGAACCAGCACCGAGTCGCACCGTTTATCGTATCATTATCTGCCGTCAATTGAATTACACGGACTTTTTTCTTTCTTCATACATAGAAAATATGCGATGCATCTAATGGGTTTTTAATCCCCAAATAAGATAATGAATTTCATTTATTCATTGGTCGCACTTTGAGCCAATAAATTGTCAAACCACAAAAACAGAATTTTTTTTCGGCCAGCCCCATAAAAACATTCCATTGAAATGAATACTGAACAAGATCAAAGAAATCGTAAACAATAATAGTAATGAATCATCGTTCGACGGCAGCGGCGCATGTATCCCTGACGGTTTCGCACGCTGTCACAATCAATCCGAAAGCATGGCTTATAAATAAGTGGAATTACCGAAAATAATATGCGATAATCGAATTAGGCGACGAGAAAAAAAAACACACACATTAAAATAAGAGCGTACAATGTAAAGTGATCTGAGTTATATTGAGGCGATAGAAATTGCGACAAGTGTATTCACCTCGAACATCTTCTAGATTCGCATTCGAAAACATTTCTATTCCAATTGAATGGACGAATGAGTGTGTTTTGTGTGTGGGAATTCGACAATAAAAAAGACACATACACTTGAAGCGGTTTGATTTACGCCCGCTCAAGCTCGTCCATCAAACCAGAGCGAGAATAGTGACTGAAAAATATAGCTGTCGTTCTCATTTTAGACTTATGAAACAAATCATCGTCAACATTTTTTTTCTTCTTCGCTCGCAATTTACTTTCGAATGTGATGGCTGTTCGACATTCGGTTCATGTGCTGCAGTTGTTGTTAAAGGTCGATACGGAAATTTCCAATTTGCCCGTTGCTTTCGGTAAATTTCAAATTTATGACAGACGTTTATTGCTGGCGTTATATTTCTTTGGCTTTTTTTTTTAATTGGAACGAGACGTAGTAATTTGTGCTCAGAATATTGCAAAAACGAAACACATTTACTACAAACCAAACACGTGAAGTGCTACTTCCTTGACTCGTATTTCTTTTTTTTTTCCTTTCCGATAGACATTTTAATGTATTCAGTTTTTTTTTCGGGATAAAGACAGCAGTTATAATTCATGGTCATCTTATACACGAATCGATTTCTAATATTCGAATACAAAAAATCCTCCGAAATTCGCTTATTAATTTGCGTGTCGAGCAACGACACGCTACGAGACAGAGTGAGAAGAAGAGAAGAATTGAGATAAAAATTAAAAGCGTTACAAATTTCCGCCCGCTGGTCTGCTTTAGGATTTTGACATCGAATGAGATAGTATCTCATTGGTGAATCGTGAATAAAATAATAAAACTATCACACCGGACATTTGTACAATGTACATGGATGGAACAAACAACAAGAACACAAAAGCAGTACATTCTCTTGATCTTGCGTGATTTTTTTTCTCCTGATGGTACGATATTTTAACCTGGTCATTGATCTGGCAAACAAAAAAAAGATGACCATTCCAAAAGTATATTCAATGTTATAAATTCTCTCTTTGTCGGTTGGATCGCATCAATATCTTCTCTTTTTTTGTTGCATGGAACAAAAAACCAGTTGTGATACACATGTATATGCGTGACCATCTCTTCTCCTTTTTTTTCCTCTCTCGACAGAGTTCGAAGCAGTTCAAATGCGTAAAGGCTACGGCAATGTGATGATTCATTGCAAGTTGTTGCTTTTATTGGGTTTAAAATTGATTTTTGCTGAGTAGAACGTGTGATCTTATCTTGCCGCGTTTCTAATGTTATTAACATCGTTTAATCTAGGAAATGAGCCATGAATAAGTGTTCTCCGGCGATATTCAAATCGGGCGGTTAAAGCACTTGACCAAAGCGAGGTGATGTGCCGCTATGCCATTTCAGCATCGCATTTGGTGTGCGCGCATTCACAAATTACACCCTTATCAAAAACCGCTTTAAACCTACAAATAATCAATAGGTCATCTGGGTCAACGTATTCGCGTAATTCAAGCACAACGAACGACAGCCGCGCAAAAATTGTAAAACAAACACTTTCGCACAGATTGACAGATGTTTTCCTTTCGGCTCTTCTCTTCGCTTCACTTCTACTCGGTTTGCCGATGCTGATTGATGTTTCGTTTCCGAAATAGCAGCGTATTGTTTATGAGCTGTTCCATATTTTTTTTATGATAATTTTCTGACGCAAATTTAGCATCGAAGGTGAAATAAAGAGATCGTTGAACATGAGATTTGGGAGACTTTTTTCTTCACTTCAGTCGTTCCGGTCAGAATGCAAAGCGCTTCAGAAAAAAATGGCAACAAAACTAATTTCTGGTGGACAGTTTCATTTTAAGGTCAATCTTTAGCAAACGGCTAGCTTGATCAAGATAACAGACATTCCACGATACCCTTTGTCTTACTATAATAAGCCACGTTATAAATCAATCTATTTATAGTCGAATATCACGTTTGAATCTTATCGCTGTGCCAAAAATGTATTGTTTTCGGCGGTGTGTGGGGAAATCCAATAGTTTAAGCCGAAGCACGTGAATGGTATCAACGACGTATATAAAATCGACGAAAATATTGATTGTTTTCAAGTCGAATAAATATTGCAGCAATAATATTGTTGATTTTTATCTCTCTCTCTCTCTCTCTCTCTTCCAGAAATACACACATCAAAATAATCAAAGATGTAGAAAATAATCAAATGTGTCAGAAGCAAATGAATTGCCAAGCATTCAAAAGTGGCAACGGTCAAGCATACCGATTGCATAAAGAAAGCAACACTGATTTCGAAAACGGCACACACACACACACAAAAGAAGAAAAACAACGTTGAAATCTTTGATATTAATGGTGAATAAAACGTTTTGATTGTTTGTGCTATTGTGTTGATGGGTGTGTGACTTGTTGCGCATGAAAACATAGTTTATTTTCTATTTGCTGCTTTTTGCAATGAATTCTGTTGTGTTCGATGTGACGTGCACGAAGTGCAGATAAGATTTTTTATTTCGCATAATGATATGAGATGATGTTCAGTCCGATAAGTGAGTGTTGTGAAATTGAGCACAAACAATATGCCAATTGTCATTTTCTTGTTTTATATTCAGCACCAGGCCAGATTGTAATTATCCATGCGGCCAACATGAAAATAAAATGTAAAAGTGTAAACTAACGTCACACAAAAGACGGCAACAGCAGCAGCAGCAAATGACAAGAACGCCATACCGTGTGTGAAAACCACTAGGTACCTTTTATCAGCCTCTTGATTCATTCGATTTTAATTGAATTTGCGTAATCGAGCGTAGTGCTTTGCTTGAAGAAAAACTGGTTTTCTTTCTTTTTTTAACCATTCGCCTGACTAATCCGATGCTAAAAATAACATTGATCATTTATAACACAAAAGCATTGTCATCATAGACGCCATTTGTATATGTGTGTTGTTGTTGTTGAATGGAGATTTGTTTACGTTCTTCTTTTCCCCAGCCACTGCTCTGCACTAAATGGGAACGGATTTTTTTTAGCTTTTGCGGTCACACAAAACTTTTAATGATTATTATTGTTCTGAACTTTTGACCAACAGTAAGCATCCGAACATGTGTTGTGTTCGAGATGACAGATTTTCTTCTTTTTTCTGAGGGGGGGAGGGACTTTGAGATGTATAAAAAGATTTAATTATTTACATCGTGTAAATGGTGTGTGTGTGTGACTGGCGCGAATAGAATTTTTATGACCACTGGATTTTTCCATCCATTGGCTTCACTGTCTAAGTCGCGGTCGTGTGTTGTGAGCGAGACAAATCACAAACAATTTGTGTGTATTCACAGACTCTATGAATGGAGGCTGGACTAAAAATAAAGCCAACTTGAAAATATAAATGACATCAATTGAAAGACAGTGAGAAAAGAAATCATTTCAAAAATATTCCACAACAGTTGTTTTGTCACACATGTGTGATGTTATTACGAAGCTTGATGTGATTGCGGCACGTCAGAATTGATTTGAGAGAGCTAGAGAGAAAAAAAAAAGGAAGCAATGTCGGCAACTCAAACGATGGAGATTCCCGTCCATTTCATTGATAGCCGGTGCTCTACTTTACTATCACCGGTATTCCTTGTGTCGCGCAAAACACCAAATGCTATCGACTTTCTGTCATGGCTTTTGAAGTGAATCAACAGGTAAACAAAGCCACCCATCAAGCTAAACTTGACTGTTATGTATCGATTGCATTCACACATTGGACATTGTGAGGATTCTGCGGCGCGCGAGTAAACGGGTACTACGTATTCCATTCATGATTCCGATATT